AGGCAGACATTTCACCTATTTTTAAAAAACCATTGCAGATTTGAGAAGATTTAATTTCACCAGTGGATACTCGTTAGATTCACGCTTATTTAACGTATAATTCACTAATTATGCTATGCGATTTTATACCACATTGATCGCAATGAAATAAAATAATAATGTATCAAATGTGTACAAAAATAAATGATGAAACTGGAATGTTGTGAAAGAAAGACAAATAAAACAAAACTCATTTATTTGAAAACTTCGAAAATTTTCAAGAAATCCAAATCAACTTTAAGGATAACAATGAGAAAATATTTGCTTGGAAAGGGACGATTAATCTCGAATTTTATTAATATTTTTTTCTTGCCGCAAAAAAAACGCAATGCTAATGCAGTCGAAAACAATTCGTAACAATTTGTCTAAAAATATTTACTAGAAGTGGAAATAAGGTGAATTGATTTGAAGCAGAAAACTGAATATTTCTGAAAATTCTAAATAAATGATAACGTTGGAGATTTGTGAAAAAAACGAAATCGGTTATATGAAATTTAAGCATTTTTTTATTCCAATTAATAAAAGATGAAATAAATAATAAAATAAATTTTCCACCATAATTTTCCATGAAAAAAGTTGAAACAATAAAATGAATGATGAAAACATTCGCGTTGGACAAAATTCAAAAAATTAAAGGCTTCTTAAATCAAATTTTGTTAAATTTTGTTGCATTCCAATAAATAAATTTCAAATATTTTAGAATATAAGGCGATCATTGTGATTAGAATTTCAAAAGCATTCAATTTTTCGCTTGGAATTTATTGTTATTAAAATTGCTAAAATTCATAGAAATTAATTCTAAGAGTTATAATCGAAGTTAAATCGCAATCGCAATTTTTAATAAAAGCGAGAATTCCACAAAAATTTTTATTTATAATTATTTTTATTAAATAATTTTTGTTCTAAGGAAATATTTCCTTTAAACCAACAAAGCATTTCGATAAATTCGTTTAAAATGCTAAAAATGCAGTTTTCTGCAGAAAATTTAGTAAACAATTTTCACAAAAGCCATTCATTTGATAATTTTCTCGTTATTTTAGCAAAGAACTGTCGATATAATTCAATTCGAATTTGTAAAAAAATTTCCCAAAATATTATAAAATTAAATTTTATGGACTGCAACAATTTTTATTGTGTGGCACACTAAATCTTATGCAATCAATAGTTCCATAGTTTCGCCTGAAAACTCTGATTTGGTTGGTTTTACTAGTTTTTTAGCCGCTACTATAACTGAAAAAGACTCTTGTCGCTTGGTGACTTGAAGAAAGAATAAGCGTCGATCGCCAGTGGTACTCGAATTTGAAATGAATATGGATTGAATCAAATTTGAACATTTTTCATAAATTATTTTAAAACGAAATTTATGAATATTTATTAAATTATGTTCCATTTAATTTTTAAATACAGCGTCTTATGTTCTTATATATTTTTAGTGGGGTAAAAGGCAAGTAAAGCAAAATAGCTGCATCTCTGAAAATCGTAATTTTCGGTAGTCTCCTTGAAAGGAGAATCTCGAGAGGCTCTATTTGTGCACAGGGCAAATGCCAATCTGTGTAAGCACTAAACTAGAAGCTATAAATTATCTATCTGCACCACCGCAAAAAATTTTACAAATATCAACTCTTTGATGATTTATTGAGTTTTAAATCAAAAAGAGTGAAGTAACAGCTTCTGCAACAGCTACTGCAACAAAGTTCTTCAAAAAGCTCTCTTCAATTTTACCAAAATTTTGGAATAAGAAAATTCTTATTTACGTGTTTTACGTGTTTTTACTTGAAATTTACGTGTTTTTTTTATTTAACTTATAACAAACAATTTAGAAAGTATAATAAATCTCAACAGTTAACAGTTAAGAGTTAAGAATCTACATTGTTTGACAAGAATATAATTGCAGATTTTATCAGAATTAAAGAGTTTTATAATTACAGAATATAAGCATTCTAGGTATCGCTATAAAGACTTCTTTTTCTCGCTTCTTCAAATGGAGTTTCGCATTAGCTGAACTGGTTCCGTCTCTAAACCAGAGAATGTCCAGGAATGAAAGTGCGGACCAGTTCTTGGCGTGAATTTGGATTCGGTAAATGAAAAATTTTAACCAGTGAAGAACCGAAACCATGCTCGACCTCAACTGAAGTAAAATATGACTATGCCCATCTACTATAGAAATTCATTTTGCTAATTTGCTAATCGAAACGAAATTCACTTGAATGGAAAAAAATTTTTGAAAAAAAATTTTTCGATAAAATGCTAACTAAAGCTATAATAAATAATGGATACGTAGAAAAAATTGGGCAATCAAGAAAAAATTTGCAAAGAAATTGAGGGAATCAAAGAAATTGAGGCCTTTTTTGCCCTACGCCCAAAGTGTAATGGTACCAAGTATGATTGTAAGTGAAAAAAACGGCAAAAAATGCGAAAGCACAGCAAAGACCTGGTTAGATACAAATAAAGAGATTTTGGATCAGATCAGCGATTTTGAGTTGAAAAAGGGATCTGCTAGTTTATTCCAAATATAATAAAATATAAAACGTATATCTGGCTCAAATGCGTCATCTTATAGTTAGCAGAACCAACAATGACGTGGGCTATTAGAAGAAGGATACGATAAAAGAATGAATTAGAAAATAAAGGCCACTTCTATAAAGACTTCGTAAACAAATATTTTATGCCAGACGTTTAATGGTGATAAAGATATTTGATAAGAGAAATGCTATACTATGAAAACGCGCAAGAAGTTTATTTATGAAACAACATTTAACGACGATAAATATATAAGACAAATTCTGATAAGAGGTGACCTAAAAACTGAACTCCAAAGAAATATGGAGCTCATAAAATATGAGAGCGATCAAAATTTTTAAATTTCAAAATTTTTAAATTTTTAAAGGCTGATGAAATATTTAGGTTTTATCTTTCTACGTTCTCTGAGCTTATCATAAAGTTCGTACCCTGAGGGCCAACTTGCATTTCTATACTTAAGGTATTTTCTAGTGAAAAGGCCTCATTCATCGTAATTGTCAGCAATGAGTGGAACCAATCAAATTCGAAATAAAGTGTTCTATTTGAAAAAAAAAAGATGTTCTCCAAAAAACAGCGAAGATTAAAAATTAACAAACAGTTATAAAGTTTTTGCAAGAAGGAAACATTAAAATTTTTTTCCCTTCCAAAATTTTAGCATAATTTTACCGATTTCGAGTTCACAATATTTTAAAAAATCTAAAAAAAGAAGCAAACCATAGACAAACCATAAATGTGAAGCTGGTGACGAATTCGTTTTCCTTTAAGAGTATTTTAGATCAGAAAAAAAAAATGACGATCAAAAGCACAATAAAATAATTGTTACGATAGATTTTTATGGTTTGCTAAAGGGACGCATTGAATCACAAACTGATTCATCTGGATTTTTAAGATAACTGATCGTATAGCTTGGAAATCGTTCCGTTGTAGCCACTGGACTGAACCAGTAACGGTGATGGCTATTAGAAGAAAATGTTCTTCTAAGAGAGCAGATCATTTTTAGTTCAATTGGCTATTGAGTCAATGCTCACTCATTGCAGGTCTTAGAGGAAAAGGTATTGATGCATTCCTCCAGCACCATTCGAATTTCACCAAGTAGTGCGACTTGCAAAAAAAGGCTGACAATTGTGATTTATAATACGATTTCATAATACTGCATACTATATTCTGTTTAAATAAAATTGATAAAGAAAGTAATTTAACTGTGATAATAATGATTAACGAGAATGTTTATGATTATTGCTGGAACAAAAAATAAAAGAATAAAATCACAATAATCACATGTATATATATATATATATATAATGGCCAATTGTTTTCCTTTCTATTATCACTTTTTTTGCTTATCTTTTATCATGTCAGTTGTCTTCTGTTTTCTGATTAAAACAAAACTTATCTTGCGATTTTTTTTAAAATGCACTTTTTCAGAGAATTTTTTTATTTTTTTCGAATTATTTTGCTAAACAATCGTTGCAATTTCAGCTTTTTTCTTGAAATAAAACTTTCCTTTCTATCTCGTAAGTGGATTTTATTACAAATAAAAAAGATAAATTAGTGAGGTAAGTTAAATTTGATTTAAAAGTTTTCCAAACCATTAAATCTCCCTGAATTTCTACTAATTAATATTATTGGTTTTGTATATCATTTATCTAAATTGATAAAATTAAAAATATTACTTAGTTATTTGGTTAATAATAGCATCGATTGGATTTTTTCTTGCCTTCAGCACTGATATGATAAATATTTTGGTGATAAGGAAGAATTATTCGAATACTATAACTCATAATATAGAGATTTATAAGAATAAAAAACAACTCGTTCAAATAATCAACAAGAAGCATTTTTCTAACAATTTGTAACTGCTTTGGCTCGCTCCGCTGATTACCATGGTGAGATTTTTTATAGAGAGAATGAAATTTCTTCTTCCATTTGAATACTTTTAACATATGGATGATAATTCAAGCCTATAGGAACGAGATATTCCCAAGTTTTTTGCTTAAGATGCTATATTAAGCCCTATTTATCTTTACGCCATTAATATCCTAATATTTGCTATTTCTGGACGGAAGTATTACTATTATCGAAATAGGAATAGAATGGTTCAATGAATGAGCTAATTTCGGAGCGTCGACTGGAGTTCCACTTTCAGAATAAATCTATTTTTCAGTGCTTGCGACTCATTTATACTTCTATCGCCAAAAATAGTTATCTAGCAAAATTTGCCTGGTCCGAGAAGCCAGCGGAACGAGTCTTACCAGAAATAATGAGCGCTTTAAAAAAAAAAAAAAAAGTTACCAAAATAACTAATCGAAATTGATTAATTAAGAAAGCAAGGCCGTTAAAAAATGCGAATAGAAACAAGATGAATTATAATCATCTGAATTTTATTTATAATAATTGGATGCAAATTTAGCATCCATATAAAATATAAATGTTCACTGAAATCATAATAATGAATCAGTTGTATTTGGTAAAAGACTAAGTCGTCCAACAACTCGTTGAGAATTAAAGAAATTCGGTGATTGAACAAGTTTATCATTGAATTCATTGATTTTATTATCAATTACTAGTGATTTCTTTTGAATATTCGCTCGCCTGATCAATTGACCATTCAAAAGACCTAAAAAATATTCAAATTATTGATAGAACATATAGGTCTCCAGCAGTCACTTGGTCTAAATCAACTCGACGTCCTTTCAGTAGAGTACGATTTAAATTTGATTTTATCAGTCCAATCAGGGATTACAATCATCTGATTTTTTATTTATAAAAAATTGAATGTAAATTTAGCATCTATTTTATTTTTATATTTCTGTTAAGATTTTTCATCAGTGAATTACTTGAAGTAGACAAATGCCTGCATTTCATTTCGTTTCTAACAGGATTTATAACGACAATATCACCTAAGGATACGATGTTTAGTAAAAAATTGACTCTGCAAATCCCCCGAAGACAAATTCTCAGAGTTTCGAATGCATATATTCGATACGAACGAGTTATTAATACAAAGAAGAAAAACTAAGCTAGATCGATAGCTTCAAACTACAACTACAAAATCGACGAAAGCCTTATTGCTGAGAGACTGACCAAGTAAATCAATTAGTTTGAACCGATAAAACAAATTCAATTAAAATAAATGAATAAGAAAAAAAGACCATTTTCGTTAAAACCTAATTCTGATGGCTTTTCCAGTGAATATAATTTCATTTATTTATTTTACGCTAAAATTACTCGAATGAAAAATATTGGAATTTATTATTTAAAAGAATAATCAAATATTTTGAAATAATTAAATAAAATTTTCATGAAATGTAAAAATTATTAAAATCTTTTTGAATAGCAAAATTTCTTTCAAGTTAACCAATTTTGAGAATTAAATTATAAAAAAAAAAAATTAATAAGTTTTCCAATATAAAAAAAGCTAAATCGTAAAACAACCCACGAAAACATATTTTAGTATAAAAAATTGCTATTCTGACGTTTCATTTTACCGTATAAAATATTACCGTATAAAAGCCAGTTGCTAGCAGAGTTGACGTATGGTAATGCATGAATGCCATACATAACGTATATAAAAGTAGTGGAAGCAGGCCGATTAAGCGGACGCTGCGTTCTATACAAACCATACAATGCTGCAATCCAGTAGGGGCTCCAACAAACGACAAAAAATATAGAAATAGCCATAGTATAGATTGCAATACGATTAACTGGTACCTAAAAGATTTCTCCAACACAATTTATTCGATGCGTTTGTTTCGTTAAGGATTGTTAAGGAGAATTTCGAAATGGAGGCTCAGATGGAGATTTTGTCGCTTCAAATATTTCCCTTTTGAAATCTGATCAAATTTAATCAAAAACAATTAGTATCTTTTAAATTCCCACTAAGTGATTCAATTTTGTTTCCTCTTAGAAGAAAAATATCAAAAAAATTAAAAAATATTTGGATCATTCGACAATATAACAAAATGCTTGAGAAGACTATATAAAATTGAAAAAACCTGTGAAACTCGCGACGAGTGATAACGTGTAAATAATCGGCCGACGAGTAGGCCATAAAATAGGATAATGAGAAATACAGGGATAGCAAAACCGAGTGTAAACATATACAAGATGAATGCCGTAAATAAATTTCCTTCCATATTATCGATACATTTATAAATTCGAACGCGCACGATTCGAAGTGGGTTTTCTAGGTGAATCTGGAAACGAAAGTTTTAGTTTTGCACCAAATTTTAAAAAAATCTTAAATCGTTCTTCTGTCACCAAAATCGACGAATGAATGAAGTTCAATCAGTCAGTGTTTGTTTATTTAATGCGGTACATAATGAAAATGCGTACTCGCTTATTTTATTTTTTTCCTAATGGAATCCGTGATTTCTGGTTTTGGTGACTTTTCACGGGAAGGTGATTCGATAATATACGTACAGAGGATTATATCATCACACGGATTTCCCTTTAAAAGGATCGTATTTGAAAACCCACTCGCTCACCCCACCTCACTTTATAAATGCAAAATCTCTATTTTTGTCAGCTTTTTACAATATTTTAATATAATTCAATATTTTATGCATTTATATATATTAAAATAATCCTTTTAAAACATTTTCCTCATTTTAGAAATTATTTAAAAAAGGTGAAAGGAATTTTCTCTCGAAATATTTCTATAAAAAAATATTTTCCCGATGAATTCCATCTTTTAAGGATAATTATTATTCGAGTTGACGCATATCAATACTTCCGATTAACTCATTTTCAATTATTCTTCATGGAATCCATCTAATTAAGTTTCGCATCATTTTCTTTCCTTTCCTTTTTAATTCAATTAGACCTTTATTTTGAATTTTTGATAAGTAACAAGAAAATTTAATATTTTATTTGATGTATGCACTTTTATTTTTAACATTTTCAAGCAAATTTTATTTAAAAAAAATTTTTTAAAAAAATAAAACGAATTTTTTTTATTATTTTTAAAAAAAATTTAGCAAAAATATAAAAATCACTTTAAATAAATTTTAGAATTTTAGGATAGAATGTAAAGGAATTTCAACTGGAAAATCCCGTTAACAAATGAATCTTTGATTTGATTTTATTTCTTGAATTCCAAAAATGCTTTAGCAAAATTTTCAGAATTAATTCTAATTTTCAGATTATAACATTAATTGACGCTCTGACGACTTGCGACATTTCTTATCTTAGAGTTATCTTTATGATAATGAACAAAAAGAATTATACTCGACTAATGAGTACGATAGTAGAGTGGTTGTTACTTAATACCTTCTTAATCCACAAATGCACTAAAATTAAAGGACATTCTATTATCACACAGAGAAGGCGATATTCATTTTTTTAATAACCTAAAATGATATGATAAATGGACAAATTTATCAAAAAAACTTTTCTATTTGCGTTTTTTTTTAAACTGAGTAAACTGCTCTTATATGGTTGAAAATCTATATTTTCCACCTTTAAATCCTTCGAAAATTAGGGAATTTCTCCTCGAAAAAAAATGAATTAAGATAAAAAAGAATTAAAATTTTTATATTCGAGTGAGAATTTATAAAAAAATATTTTAATGCAAAATTTCAAACAGCGATATTCAAAAAATTTTTTTATATTTCGTAAAAAATATCTAAAATCAGGCTTTCCAATCTCGTTAAGGCCTATTGCATATGTTTAAATTTCATCATTGCTTATACACCGAATATTAAGATAAAAACTTTTGTCATGGAACCACTTCGACAGAAATACGAATGGGCCTCCGACCATCCAAAAATGACAAGTTCGCTACTAGCAAGAGCCAAGCAGCCACATTTCCATGATAATCCGACGTTACTATTGTCTATTATTACTTTTAGGATTACCTTTTGAAAAATGCTGACGTATTTTTGAAATAATTATAAAGTATTGTAATTCCTTTTTTTTTCACTAAAATCGTTGATAAGATTTGAATTGAAAGAATTTGCAATTATTATTATTTTTATATTATTTTTATAAAGAAAGTTTTGCAAATGTGATTGTTGGACCGAAAAAAAAATAAATTCAAATTTCCATTAAAAAAATCAAATTTTCATGACATAAATAATTTAAAAATGAAAAAACAATTTAATTGTTTAATAAAAATCTTTAATAATAAATTCATTTGGTTATTAGTGAAAGAAAATTTTTTCTTTAAATTTAATTAATAGAAAAATTAATATAAATTTAATTAATTGCATAAAAAAGAAACTTTTCCATTATACGAAATTAGTTAAAGAAAGTAATATTTGATGACAATTAGCAATTAATAGATTTTTTTTTCCAGGTTTTCCATTTGAATTAACCAAATTAAACGCTTAAATTTCTTAACCGCAATCAACCATTTGTATTTTTATTGTAAAATTAGGAAAAAATAAAAACCTCTTTAAGAATGATTTCCTCCGCAAGCGTATTCACAATGATCGGTGAAAGTAGAACAAATGTTATCAATGTCAATGATAAGAGATAAATAAATACCTTTCGACGACTGAAAATCATATGAGTTTAGTAAATAAGCAAATATTCATAAATTTGAAAGCATTTCGTCCGATCTTTTTTCTCTCCCCTAACAGTTTGCATAGATGACCAATGCAGACGGTGCTGGTACCACTCTTACTTGTTGACCACAGGCATCAGAAACTTCTTGGCACAGAACAACTTCAATAATTTTCTTGGATTTTTGGATTCGAAATGAAATTCATCCAATAAACTTTCTTAGTGATTCTCATTTCGTCGATCTTCGTCGGCGTCAGTAACTTATTAGCGCAAAGCTCAAAAAATTTAAGAGACAAAACAAATTTCCTCTTTTTTTTCGAAATTCAATTTGATTTTCATTCAATTGAATCGGGAATATCGGCTAAGAAAATTAAGTAAAACTTATGATGCATTATAATTATAGCTTTTTTTTTTTCATTTTCGCTTGACCTTATTTTTCATTTCGACTCGTGAAAAAAAAATGAATAATAAAATTTTCATTTTCATTTTTCCAATAATTAAAATAAAAAATAAGCTTTAAAGGAAAAAGATAAATTCGTAAAAAAATCTACAAAATTTTTAATATTTCTAAAAGAATTAGAAGAAGAAGATTTGAAATAAAATTCTATAAATTTTTAAATAAAAAATAATGAATTAAATAATAATAATAAATTAAATAATAATAATAAATTAAATAATAAATTTATTAATAAATAAATAAATTCAATTAGTTCAATTAGTTTTCAATTTCAATTAGTTTTTTAAATAGTATTATTTTCATATTATTTTTGAATTATTATTATAATTATTTTCAATTATTTTTATAAATTTTTTTTTTTTTATAAATCTCAATATAATTCTTATTAAAATCAGATTAAATTAGAGATTATTTTTATTTCTGGGGAAATTCCTTATAAAAATGCTTTTTTTTGAAAAAAAACGATTCTTTTTAATTTATTCATTATTAATGCCATAAAATTATATCCGACCGACGTCCGACGATATGATAAAAGCAATAACAACATGGGAATCGTAAATCGTTATCGTTAAATATGGGCGAATAAGTCTGAAAGCACGACAAAATGGAGATTTCCAGATTTTTGATCGTGGAACATTGCTAATTTCTATCTCTCTTCGAACGATTTCGATTTTACTTTCTACCATCTTTAAGTCGCTGAATAAGCATTTTTCGATTTAAACTGAATTTTATGAATAGAATTCTTTAAAAAAAAAAAAGAATTTTGAGGTTTATTAAGCACGTGAAAGTACTTCATGAATGATGAAGTGATATGAATTTTACTCTATTTTTTTTTTCAAATATTTCAACGTAAACCATAAATTATGAATAAGTTGGTGTGCTAAATAAGGTAAAACGAAAAGAAAATTAACGAATTCTCACTTCACGAAAATCGATTCATTATTCCCTTCACAGTATCTATTAATTTATGTAAAATAAAACTGATAGAAAAATTTTTAAAAAAAAATTCGAAAAAAGACTGTGAAAAACGATGATCCACATAGGTTCAAAAGTTTTTAGAATGATTAAATCCAGGAGATAATATCAATAATAAAATAATCAATAATAAAATTATAATCCTATGAATCCATGAGGGATCCTAGATTGTCGGTATGATTTTGTTAGAATTGGCTTTTTAGGCCTGAATGTACTCGATTACTTTCCTCTTATGGTTATATAAAACAAAAACTTTCTTCCTGGTCGACCTTCTGATATTTCAAGGCTATTAGGACCGTAGATGGCGTATATCTTATTTAAGAGTTTATAGTTAAAAAAAACTAAAATCTAAATTTAACAAAGTTCGAGTACTTCTATTCCAAAACTTATGAATTAATTTTACCAAAGTCAATAATTTTTGAAATAATCAGGCAGGAATTAGAATTAAAGAAAAGCACCCACCTTGTTTTCCGATGCGGGTACCACACACGTTGAAAACGATCGAAAGCCATTGCAGCGAGTATAAACGTCGATAAAGCACGACCCACATGCTCTAACATTCGATAAATTTTACAACAAACCGTACCAAATACCCAAAAACCAAGTAACTGATCAACAATTGCCATTGGTAACGGCAGAACGGAAGCCAAGTCGACACAACAAAGAAATAATATGAATATCATTGTATTATCATAGGGAACTGATGAATGCACCTGACGTATGAGCGTTATAACCGAAACATTACCACAGAGGCCGAAAAGAAATAAACCGGCATACAGCTGCAAGATTTTGTTTGCACAAATTATATAAAAGAATTCCACGAAAAAGGAGTAATTTTTTTAAAAATTAAATTTGAAATTTTTTTTAAATCCAACATAATTAAATTTCAATTCAACAATTAAAAAAAATGCACAAACATTAGGTGAATATTTTATTTAAAAATTATTTATTAATGAAATAACAATTGAATAAAATAAAATATAAAATAATAAAATAAAAAAATATTTTATATAAAATAAAAATATTTTAAACATTTTATTTATATAATTTTAAAAAAATTATAATATTATTTAAAAGAATCAAAAAAGAATTTAAATAAAATTTAAAATGATAAAAAATAATTTAAATAAAATTATTCGTTGAAAGATAATTAATTAAATTTATAAAAATAATTTTTATAAATATTAAGAAAAAATTGAAATATTGAAGAAAAAAAATTATAAAAACTATAATTTATATTTGCTTTCTTAAGCGATTGGATTCCTCCTATAAAATATTTATTTCATTTGAAGAAAATTCTCTTCTAATCCAGAAATTTACTATTTCATAAATTAGTGACGATTTCTATTACTCGATGATTTTTATTTTTATCATAAAAATTCGAAAAAAATTATTTCTTTATTATTATTATTAAAATTATTTTTTTATTATTATTGCTTTTTTATTTATTATTTTAAGAGAAATCTAAATAGCCGATGGATGAAATTTAACGAATTTCAAATAAGCCCAATAGAACTGCGCAATTTGCCGAATCAACTGAATTAGTGACCGTTAATAGTCGTTTCTTTTCCACAAATCCGACATTAAATGACATAAAAATCCACGAATTTATTGCAGAATATTTTCAAGTTTTTTTTTAAGTTTTAAAATTTTTCCTCCTAAATTGCACAAAAAATGATCGCTTAAAATGAATTACTACCATACGAATAATTGAAAATCCATAAAGCAAAGCAAATAATCTGTTTGAAAAATTTTCTATATTTATGCTTCTAGCGATGTCGAATAACATTCTTTTTTTATTTTTATACGAGAAATAATTTTATTAATTTTTTCAAACCTTAAATCTCGGCTAATCTCGAAAATAACATTAGTTAAATACAAAATTATTATTTTAAAAACTCAAAATTTTTTATTTTTTTCGAAATTCAAAATATTAATAACTTTCCAAAATTGTTTAAATGAAATTTCTAAATAATATATTTTTTAAAATATTCGAATTTTTCTCGACGATTTTCTCAAATTTCTAAAAAGCATGAAAAATTAGAGAAAAAAAAAAGCTAAATAACTTACAAATGAATAGAAAACAATGTGATTATTATTCCAGTTGGAAAGAGGAAACATATTGAGAACGGGAATGTGCCGTAAATCGCTCGTATTTTTAAAGAACATCTCAGAATTTGAAAAATTAAATTTGAAAGCCATTTTGGATGAAAATCGCTTTTTTCTCTTATACGCGAATAATAAACGCGAGAAAGCAAAAAATATTGAATATTAATAGATGCAGAAATTTATTAGAATCAATTTCCGGAAGTAAATAAATTTGCGATATTTAATAACAACGAACTGACGATTTTGAATTTTCGAAAAAACATTTTCTTGAAAAAAAAAATGACAAATTAATAATTAATTATTTGCAATCCACTATAATTTTTTTAGGATCTTCGCAAATATGCATCGAAAATTTTGCAGTAATAGCAATAATAATAATAAATATATTTATTATTATTTTTACAACGAACAGTACTCAGCTAATGAAATAATTGAGCATAATTTTTGTAAATCGCTTAAATCCTTTTCGAAATGATTTTCCCAGTCAAATGCAAGTAAAAATCGTCCATTTACAGCTTGTTCAATACACCATGGTAAGTAAGTTTGGATTAGTAAACGTCGATGCCTGAAAATTAAAAAAAATTATTCCAATAACCAAAAATGCAATGGTACCAAAGTATACGATGGTACTTAGCCAGTTGCTTAATCGACCTATACGCTTCGTTATCAGCACATTCACAGTAAACTCTACGCTCTAAACTTATTCCATCTTCGCATATTGCATGCAAACATTTGAAATAACAAAAATTATTCGTCAAAGAGAAAATTTCAAAATAAAAGACAAAAAATGATAATAAAAAACCACAAATACATTTAAAAAAATAGATTAAAAATAAAAAAATAAATTTTCCAAAATCTTCGCTTAGACCAAAAGAGAAAGCGGAATAGTCGAATAGTTGCTGCTGCTGCTGCTGAGCCGCCTCGGAAATCACGATTATCACATTATCACCCTATCACTCCGACATGTGTGGGCTCGAAATTTAATAGCCTGCATTTCTTCCCGAAATTTACGCTCTACCAGATGAACTACGAATGGAAATATGAAGTGCGGCAGTATAAATATGCCTCAGTGAGGAGATTTCAACAGCTTATATATCATACGATTTTTGTTTTAAGCTTTCCTTCGTCAATTCTCTTAATAAATTCCCGATAGACTAATGAAATAAACATCATCCTTCTCTATAAAAACAAAAAAAAAATCCCTCAATCATTTTGGAAAACCTTCAAGCAAAAAAAAAGAATGAAGAAATGTATTAGGCGACCAAAAATGAAAAAAATCCTACAAAGATCCTTACGATTATTTACTTATCATTGGCCATTAAAACAGATTGTGCCGCCTACTAAATAATCCACGAATATTAACGCGCTAACTTAAATTTCCTAAATAATTTTATGCCAACCTAATCAGATTTTAAATATGCCTTAATTGTGTACCGTTTGCACGAGCGTTGCTCCAGTGGACACCATTTTATACCTAAATAGTGTCCACTGGAGCTACGCTCACCCTAAACATAATTTTATGCTTAAAGATGATTCATAGTTGCATATATCGTTTCATATGAAAATATTTATTTTTCTCGCCGAGAAAAAAAAGTTGGATTATCCACAAAAAAAAAGATTTAATAGAAAACAAATTTCTCATTTCATTTTATTCCTATTTTTATTGAAAGCTTTGCATCAATAAAATCAATTTAAAAAAAAAAAAAAGTTTCATTTGCAATTTGGAAAAGAAACAATTCAATGAATTAATGAAATTTATAAACAAAAAAGAAAAAAAAAATCTGAATTACTTTTAATGCAAAAAAAATAAAAAAGGAAAATGACGGAGATTACGGAAAAAATGGTAATTTGCGATTAATAAAGTGCATATTAAATAGAAAAGGAAGGAACTTACTATTTTCATTTTCTTAGTCCACCTTTCTCGTTAATTTATATTATAATAATGATAATTATTAAAAATAATAATAAGTGATAATAGCAATAATAATAATAATAATAGGTGCAATTATAAGAATAAAAAAAAAAGATTAATAAGAGTAATAATGATAATAGAGATAATAATAATAATTAATGAATTATAAAAATGACAATTCCAAAATATCTGATGTTAAATGAAATAAATTTCTTTGATGATATATAACCGACATATAGCATAATTCATTTCTTATAGTACTTCCCCATAAATTTCAAAAATTTCAACAAAAATTTATCAAACATTTGATAAATAAATTGATTAAATCCAAGCTCCTGCCAAGGCCTAAAAAAATTTTAAAATTTTACATAAAAACAATTAAAAAATAAATTAGCGCGGATTTCTTTAGATAGTATGCCAAGAAATAAGTTTCAAGAATAATGCTATTGAAGAAAGTCGTCGTCATTATCATTATAGATAGATTGATCAATAGATTGATCAACCTATGAATCTAAAATAATTATTAAAAAGCAAGAGAATTTATATTTTGTAAAATAAAAAAGAATGAGCAGCTCTTGTAAAGAACAAAGAGCAAAGATAGTATGGCCGAGTGGTGCGCTGCTTCGACTAAAGACAAGTCACCACTGGTTCGATTCTGGCCTTTAACTTATCGAAAATGAAATCCGAGCGATAATGGTGTCTAACTACACTCAATCTATACTCAAATAATTCCCTAGCCTGAATGTTCCAAATATGTTGGCACGTGTTCAATCAAAACAGAAATGGTGAATTGCTTGGTGATGAAAAAAACGAGTTGTAATCCACTCAAATTTTAAAAAAAATATCGAAATTACCACCTAAATGCTCAAAAAAAAGGAAAAAATTTTTAAAAAATGTTTATATTTAATATTTAAATTTAACATTTAAATTGATTCAACAAACGTTAATTTATATTATAATTATGATAATATTAAGAATAATAACAATGAGTGATAACAAGTGATAATTTTTTAAATTTAAATATATATTAAATTATTAATATATATTATTAATTATATGTATTATTAATTTCATTTTTAAATTTATAAATTCAAAACCGATATTTATTAAAATTTATCTTAAATCTATTTTGATGAAAAAATTAAAATTATTTTTAAAATTATTAAAAATAAAATTAAAATTAAATTAAAAATTATTTAAAAAACTTTATAGCATTTTCAAAACCTTACGTTATTTACGTTTTATTTTTACTTTACTTTCTGTTTTAAATTATGAAAAATTTTTCGAATTTTAATTAATTTTAAATTTTATTTTCAAAAGTTTCAACAAAACTTTCTTGAATCGTATCCAAAATCCTTTAGAATTCCGTGAGTATTCCGTGAATTAAATAAATAAATAAATCAAGTTTATTTAATATATTTCAAATTTTATATATCAAATTTCCCAAAATTTTTTTTTTGTAGTAAAAATTTTAGTTTAAAGCTATTCGATTACTCTTCCTCTTTTCTCTTCTTTGAATCACCAGCAAGACTGGGTGAATTACCGAGGGCCAAGCACGGCACTTGCTCGGAGGCAATACGGAGGCCAAACTAACAGAAACCACCTTGCACCGTCTGCACCGCCGCATATTTAATTATACATACATTGAAAGCCAAGCCAATTCAACTCACTTGTTATTATAATTTCATAATCGATGATTTATAACAGATGAAAAAAAAGATGCCAAAAGTCAGTAAAATTCATTAAAAGAGAATTCGAAAATTTTTATGAAATTAAAAAATCACCGAAATAAATAAAAAATCTTATTTCTTCTATTTTAAATTTTAGAATTCTCATCAGAATTATAATTCCAAAGCCTGAAATGGGCCGAAATTATTGCCATATGGCCAAACTGAAGTCAACTAATAGCAATAATAGCAATAATTAATCGACCTATACGCTTCGTTATCAGCACATTCACAGTATTTATTGCCATATGACCAAACTGAAGTCAACAGGCATCGAAATTTTATTCTTTCGTTCTTCTTCAAGTCGAATATTCCTGTCAATGTGATTCATTTCTCAAATTTTCCGTATAACTAAATAATTCGTAAAACGATTTCCACAAAAATGATTGACGTTTAAACTATTTGCAATCACATCTGATTTATTTTAAAAACTTTTCTCACCTTTCTTTATTTTTGTTTTTAAAAATTGTTTTTTATAAACGTTAATTAAAAATTTTAATTTTCAACCCGAAGTTAATCATAAAGAATGGATTTTTTTGCTAATAAATTTGATAAAATATAATTATAAAATGAAATGAAATTAAAATTCGTGCGATAGGAGATTTTATTTTTTGTATAAAAGAAAATATAATATGAATTAGAAAAAAATATATTTAAAGAAATTCAAAAATTCTAAAAATTATTAATATTGAGTTTATTCATTATCACTTAATCATCATTCGAGTATTTATTATCATATATATTTCTTCTTATTATCATCTCCTTTCTAATTCGTTACGCATAAGTAGTCTTCGATAATACTTCAACATTAAAACTTAATTAAATTGCAAATATGAGACTTTCCTGCATCGTTTTTTTTCCTTCTATATCTCAATTCCTATCATCGTCGTCTATCAATAGTTAATTATAACTTTCCAACTCAAATTTTTTTTAAACTTTTATTTTCTACAAGAAAATGAGCGAGAATATTCCAGCGCTCTATCGCTTCAGTTCAGAAGCAGAAGTATCAAAATGGTTGAGGAGTGCTGTATTGCTTCAATCAAAGAAGCAGAACAAAACGAGTGGTTTATTTCTTCAATCGGAATTAAGCAGCAGGAAGAAGTTAGGCGATTCGAAATCAAACATAATGAATTCCTCTGTATTAACGAATGCTTCGCTAATAATAATGGTTCGAACAAGAGGAATCTACCTTTCCATTTCTATTTCGATTCCATGTGATCCTCAAACGAAAACCTTAACGAAAAATTCTCATTTTAGTAATTAATGAAACTAAGCAAAAATAATGAGATGAAAAAGATGAACGCAACAGAAGTAAGAATTAAAGAAATATTTCTTATCCTTCATCGCATCTCTAAATTATTTTCAATGATTATTATTATTATTTTTTTTTTTATTTTTAATGTTCGCGGATTTTTCATTTGATTCATTTTCATCATTTTTTCATATTTTTTTTCATTTGGTTTTTTTTGATTTTTAATAATAATTGAGTCAAATCTATCCAATTATCCATCTCTAAGAATGAATAAAAGTAACATAATATTAATTAATTAATAACGACGATAATATTGTAATAATAATAATAATAATAATAATAATAATAATAACAATAATAATAATAATCGTTAATAATAATGATGATAATAATAAATAGATAAAAAATTCTAAATTTTAAATTGAATTCAATTTAGTTATTATTAAATTAACAAAAAAAAATGGACAATGCAAATAATCAAGGAACAGTCTATTCCATCCAACCATCGATCTATCAGTGGTACTTTATGAAAGTACCATATTTAATATAATTTAAAAATGAAAGGAACAAAAGCAGAAAACACCTTAATTTTCTTACATATTACATATTAATAAGTGCATTATAATAACCGCAAAAAACTTTTATTTCATTCGTGGTACTTCGACGAGAATAAATTTTATTCATTTAATTTATGTTTAAAAAGTAAAAAAATCAACAAATCCAGAAAAAGTATAAATAAAAACTTTTATTTATTATTAAAATAATAAAGATAAAGTTTCGTCTCATTTATTACCTAATTATTCGAAAAAAAAATTCATTATAACGATTTTTAGGAATTAAAAAGAAATTTTTAAGAAATCCCTTAGGAATTCGACAACTAAACAGATAAAGACGGCCAACGAGGTGATATGGCAATGCATCACAAAAATGAAAAACTCCCTCAAGTTTTTTAGAGGAAATAGAAAAAACGAGATCAGCGTTATCATGCGACAATTAGCATAAATATGTTAACGTGATCGGAAAAGCTAATGAAGAAAAATTTTCTACTTCGAGATGATGACAACAAAAAATTTAGTTGTAATTTTAATCAAAAGAAATACGAGAAAAAAATGAAATATTTGAATTATTTATTATAAAATTAGAAAAATTTTGAAAATAAATACCTGAAATTCCACCAAAATGATTTTGACTTTTTTTTCTAAAGATTTTTCTTCTTCAAAGCACAAAAAATTTTTGATTTGCCAAGCCTCACTGATTTATAAGATGAAATCCTTTCGCAAGAGATTCATTTGGGAATAGAAATATAATCATTTCAGCAGATCTCCTATGCTAACATAAATCGAATGGTGATGCAAATGGTATTCCAGCGAAAATAAATACGGTCATGTGGGGAATCCATGCGCAAGAAGAGCAAGCAATGTCTTTTAATGAGTATATCCTTTGAAAGTAAGTTATAAAGAGCGTTGGACGCTTACTTGAAGAGTTCAGATCGGAAAACGTTTCCTTGCCAGCTTTTAATTGGATCTTACTGAATCTTATATATTCAGATTCGGAGTGACGTTTTTTTTTTCTGCCAGCTTCATACAAATTTTCGCTCGAATCATGACACAGCTTGATCCATCAAGAATGCCAGCACCGAGGTAAGAGTGATTACTTGGCACGGAACTCTTCCAATCAGAAATGACCAAAATCAGTCTAGATGGAGTGTCGGTCGGAGATTTCCATGTAACTAGATGGATGTTTGGAAGAATGGATTGGTAGCAACAAGTTACTCCACTGAATTAAAACTCATACTAATGTTATATTTGCCAACATAAAATACGTTATAATAGCATCGTGCCATACGCGCACATTTCAATCTCGCCGTACTATGACTGTTCCCTAATAGCCAAAATGCTATTTTAGGATTGTGAATATGAAAACAGGATTCGACAATTCGAGTCTTGTCAACTCATCATTGATCAAGAAAAATTTGTGAAGAAAAGGTTAATCAAACAGTCTTTATCAATCCT